TAAAAAATTATAAATTATAATATAAAATAAAAAATAAATACAAAAAACAAATTAATTTAGATGAGACATCTGCAGGAAGAAGAGCTTGGAAGTATGATCGTCGTTAAGCCACGTCGAAAGAAATGGTAGATTGTTGGAAAGTAATGAGAGGCAAATAAATTTTTTGACTTGGTCAACTTTGTCACGAGCGTTACTGTAACAGTGTAGTTCAATGGCTAAAACAACCCAGAGCTATTCTTATTATATATTTAAAAAACGTTTCATTCATATATTAGAATTATAAAATTAAAATTATTTTTAATTTTTATATATTTTTTATAAGAGAAAATATTATAACGAATTATAAATCATGATTCAAATTCAGGTACGAATTTCTCAATCAAATAACCTCTTATTTTATGTATTCATCTTGAATTTTAAATTGTAATTCATAATTTTTTATAATATTTTTTTATAAAAAAATTTAAATTTTAAAAATTAAAATGATAAATTATGATTTTTAATCATGAAACAGTCTTATTGTTTAAAACCTCATTTTATGTCTGAAATTTTAAAAGGACGACAGAATTAAACACTTTTTTTTTCAACATATTAAAAAAAAAACTCAGGCGCACGTACACACACATATATATCAATTTAGCATAGTAGATTTTGAATAAGAATGAGATTGTATGAATATTTTGATTCGTATCCCGCGGCGTCCAGTCTTTTAAATCACTAGGGTCACGTTGCATTAGTTTCTATTTTTTCGGACTGATTATAAGCTTTATTTTCGAATTCCTACACACACAAAAAAAAGCTTATCTTTGAATTTATCTACTTAATGGCAGTGATGCAAAGAGAAAATAGAAAAGGTCTACTATCTGCAAAAAAAAAACAAAAAACAAAAAACAAAGGCAGACCTCTACTAATGTATTTCCCCTACCTATTCTTCTTTTCGTTTCTTTACCCGAAAACAAAGGCAGGAACCGTATAAAAAATAAAAATTTAGCAATTGTCTATATTTACGAACGAGAGAAAAAGATAATTCATTAATAATGAGCTCTATAATTTTATAGGTAATGAACAAGTAACTAACATAAAAATAGTCAACAATCAATTTAAATTAATAATGAGTCGGTAACTAGCATTTGGGGAGGAATTTATTTTGATGTGTACATCTGGTCTACCAACTCAATGCCGCTTCCACAGCTCAGTGAGTTTCGTTAGCGCAACTCGGGACGATCCACCTTCGCTCAGAGCAGCTCTGGCTTCATGCTTCATTGATAAAGCACGCTTCCGTATTGAGTCGCTGGAGCTCGCCATCAACTCAGTGACCCGCTTCTCAACTTCACTGGCGGTCACAAACCCGTCGTCGGACTCGTTCATGGGCAAAGCAATCTTGATTTCCTCAACAAGCACTACCCTGTTGAACCTCTGCTCCGCATAGAGCGGCCACGCCACCATCGGCACGCCGGCGCAGACCGCTTCCAGCACCGAGTTCCACCCGCAGTGAGTCACGAACCCGTCCACCGAGTCGTGACTCAGGACCTCCACTTGTGGTGCCCAGTTCTTCACCACCAGTCCCCTGTCTTTCGTCCGATCCAAGAAACCTTGTGGCAGTAACGAATCCAAGTCTAGTTCTGGCGATTCTGAGATAACCAAGCTTTGGTTCTTCTGCGACGGCGGATTTCGCACCACCCACAAGAACCTCTGGCGGGTCCTCTCCAACCCCACCGCTATTTCCTTCAGTTGCTCTTTCGAGAACATGCCTAAGCTTCCGAAACAAAGAAAAACCACGCTTTGTCTTGGTTGCGAGTCCAACCATTTTAAGCACCCGGAATCAGATCCTTCCCGCTCTTTGGTAGTAATCAGTGGTCCGATGCTGTATATCGGAGGCGTGGGAGCATTCGGTACACACAATCCTTCCCTCATGGCGTTGAGGGCTCTAGGCTCCAGTGACTCAAACGTGTTGACAATAATTCCATTTGATTTCACGAGTTCAGCGGCGGATTGAAGAGAGTATTTATAAGCCATATCATGACGATCAAGGAGTGGTTTTGGCATGTCTAGCGAAGGAATTGGCGGCGTTCCTGGGAAGTTGAGAGGAGTGTTGTTGAGGTCTTTGAAGCTCTTTGGGATGGTTTCGTGAATGGTTGGAAGGTAGAGGGAGGAAGCTAAGTTAGCCGCGCTGGAAGTGTAGAAGAAGTAAGTAGGGATGTTGAGCTCGGCGGAGACGGTAAGAGTGCTGCCGCAGAAGAGATCCATGATGAAGGCGTGGATTGTGTGGTTTTGAGAGATGGAAAGTAGGGCTTTAGATACGGTTGGTTTGTTGAGCCGAATGACTTCGTAGGTTAGTGTTTCGTGGTGGTGCGAAGCGGACGAAATCTCGGGAGGGAGGGAGATGGGCGGGAGGTGGTGGAAGGTGATGGATGGAGTGGTGGCGGAGACGCCGGCGATGTAGGCAGCGGTGTCGCCGGCTTTGTAAGGAGGTGCGGCAATGAGGAGGTGGATGGAGAGTGAAGGTTTTGAAGTGAGAATAAGCTTTCCTAGCTCGACCATGGCGATAAGATGGCCGATCGCCGGTGATGGATAGAGGACTATCGATTCCATGTTTTGAGTTTGTGTGGCGGAGTTCAAGTCTAAGCGTCACTCGTGCGGCTTGCTCTGTGTCTGTATATTAAATACGAGAGCTCGCCGCAGAAAATTTGCATATATTGTTTAATAGTTACTCTTTTATTTTAAAAAAGTTATGTTATTTTTCATTGTTTATTATTATTGAATTGTCTGTATCGCTGTTGAGCCATTATGGTAGGCACCATATATGCTTGTATATATGCTCGTATGAAAGACAGCATATTTTTAAAAGAGTTGCACCGTACTTTAAAAAAAAAAAAAATTGCTTATAGCGTTGTTGGATTAAGCATATATGCTTCTATCACATTCCCATGTTATCAAATTACTTTATTCTTTTCAGAAAAAAAAGGTGCAGTAGTCCAAAAGGTACTATTAGTGTTAAGCACTAAGACACCACCTGTGTTAAGTATCAGTCTAATAAAAAGTGAGTTTTATCTGTAAAAATTATATATTACGGAATTTATTTTTTATTAAATGGTGGTGTTTAACACTACTGATACCGTACTTGTAATGCAAAATTTATAAACCTGCCATGTATGTGAGTGCAAAATCTATGAACCAGCTATGTGCGTGGGTAATTTTGCTGGTTAATTTAAAAAACAATGCCCAAATTTTACATCAAATTCACGATGTTAAATGTTAGGATCAAAATAAGTATTATGATCATTATCGTACACTAGGACAACATTTAGAGAAGCAAGTCGGTAGAAATCTAATGGTTGAAGAATCAACTCAAGTGAGAGCGTCAATTAGAGAAGCACGACGACAGGAGACCTGCAGAGACCACCACGAATAAATCAAGAAAGAATTTCTCTTAGAGGACACAAAGTCTAATCTAGCCAAATCTCATATTAAAGGGGTGTCCACAGTTTGGGCGTTTTTTTTTTTTTTGGGTTTGTAGAAACCACCAACCAAATCAAAAATAATTTTTTCTTTTGGGCGGATTGATATTTTTAACAAAAAACTAAATTGAACTAAATCACTCATAAGCAGTTTGGACGGGTTAGTTTGGGTGATTTAAGTTTAAGACTAAAAAAGTTTTCAATAATTCATAAAAATTACAAAATCATTAATCAACAAAAATAAAAATAAGATTCAAGTTTACAATATAACTAAAAAATAACAATATCTAACAGTTCACCATTTAAAGTTTAATACGAACCCACAAAAGTATGATAGGGTGTATTTTAAAATTGTAGAACCTTTATTATAACCAATAAAAATTAAAATCAATATAAAAAAACATTTTAAAAATTAAAAAATTATATATGTATATTTTTGGGCAGATTATTAGGTGGTTTGGGCAGTCCAAACCACAAACCAAACCGTCTAAAAAAAATTAGATTAAAAAACCTACCAAACCGCCTAATAATCCAAAAATAATTAACGATTTGGTTCAGTTTGGTTTGGATTGAGAGGTTTTCGCGGTTTGGCGGATTTTTTGAACACCCCTAGCGCAAATTCGATCAATACTGAATAGGAAAGCTACCGTGAAGCAAATTATGAAACAAGGAATAGCAAAGTCAAATGAAGGAAAAGTGAAACTACCCATTCTCCCATCAACAACACATCAACGCAAGAAAAGAGAAAACTAGAGATGAAACTGTCACGCCCCGAAACCGGGGTCGGTGACGTGGAGGCTCGATTAGGAGTAATTATCAAAATCCAAAAGCAAAGTATTATGGAAATTCCTAAACAAGCCTCCGTTTCGTTGAAAAATATATTACAAGGAAAATGTTAGAACTCATTCAGGGCTTCACCCAAAGGATATGTAGCATTGTACATACATGAACATGTAAATAACATTACAGACATCAACCACAGTCTAGAAATCCAGAGATTTAGAGTTTACAGAGGTTACAATCCTTACATTCAGACACATGGAGGATGATCACAATCCTCACCAAATCAGCTGGTAGCAACTAACTCCGCTACTCCGCACTGCTCCTAGAGTTGCCTGAGAGGGGTTAATATTTATAAACAATAAAACGTGAGCGAAAGGCCCAATAGGATATATTTTAAAATAACTTTATAAGCAAATAAATAAATGAGTAAGTAAGTAAATAAATAAATAAACGAATAAATAAGACATTTAGTTCCAACACAACAACCGGAACCTCACATCCTTTTTCTGAAAGGAATATAACTGAAAATCTCCGCATTATAGGCATCAGCAAGTAATTTATACTATGATAAATTCCTTACACATCCACAAGCACAAGCCATATAACTCCCGGGCTGGGTTTCGGGTTCTGCCCCCAAGGATGCACTCTCCACATCCTATCTAGGCCATCAGTCGGTTTACTGATTCGTAAGATCTCTTATATTAAGAAATCATTCATTAAACTTTATGCAACAGTTCATTATAATTCCAATAGCTAAAATCAAGCTATTATTTTTAAACATGCTTTTCTTTCGCAAACATGCCCTTTCTTTAAAACATTTGCAAAGTCAAAACTCTTCTGAAATCAGGGTAACAAAGAAAGGGTAAGAAATCCTACCTCACAAATATCAAACTGTGGCTAGCGTCACTCTATTATGGCTTTTGCTTCTTCAAGCCCCTCAATCCGAGTCCTCAGCTAGCACTGACACAAAACAACACTTTAGGATCCAATTCTCATTCCTAAAGCAGTTCAAACTCAATTATACCTTTTTGATTTTCTATTAGTTTGCCTTAATTAATTTCTAAGTTTAATAAACCATTTCATGTTTCAAATCATCATTCCAAGGGGTTGGATCTCAAAACATGGATTAAAGATGCTAATCCATTCACTTAGATCCCCAAATGAAGCTAATTTGGGTTTTCTTCAAAAATTAGGGTCAAAACAGGGTTTTTCAGCAAAACAGGGTCAAACCCCTTGTACACTGGTCGACCGGTGACAGAGCAGTGCAACACCACTGGTCGACCGGTGGTGTGCACTTCGATCGACTGCACAGGTCGACCTAAAGGAGTGCAATCCGATCGACTGGTGGGAGCCTGTCAGCTTGATCGACAGGGCCGATCTGAAGGAAATCCCACCAAAACCTGCAATTTAAAGTCCAAATTTGAAATATTTCAAGGGAAAACAACCAAATCCAGGTTCTAGTCACTAAATCAAGTCCATAGAACCAAAGATCCCCAATTTCTACCATGATTTTACTCAAAATCCATAAAAATCTATTTTGAACCAAAAATAGGTTTTCTAATACGAAAATCCAAGATTCAAGAGAGGTTTTTCAGAAATCTTACCTCAAATCCTTCTCTTGACATTGAAAACTTCTTTAAATCCTTCTTTGGTTTAAGATCCAATTGATTCAAGGCAAAAATGGAAGAGAGAGAGAGAGCTCGGGAAGGAAAGGAAAGAAAGGAAAGGAAAGAAAGGAAAAGAAAAAGGAAAGAAATAGAAAAACTAAAAGAAAAAGGAAAAGAACAGGTGTCTAAATATTTAAAATGGCAGTCCAGAAAATGTACACACACACACCTCTGGGGTAAAAATATAATTACTGAAAATATTTAAATACCTTAGAATTATTTAAATTTACACGTTAGAAATATTTATTAATCAATGATAAATTAATTAAACTAGATTTGGCACAGTAATAAATCTTAATTACCTTAATCATTCTCGTTTAATTCCTTGAGGTGTTACAACTCCACCCCCTTAAGAAATTTCACCCTCGAAATTTTGACTTACCTCACAGTGAAAACAGATGCGGGTATCGCTCCTGCATCGTCGTTTCAAGCTCCCATGTTGCTTCCTCAACTCCGTGGTGCTGCCACAACACTTTCACCAATGGGATCTCACGATGACGTAAACTCTTCATCTTCCGATCAAGAATTTGAATTGGTGCCTCCTCGTATGTTGCGTCATATTGTAGCGGAATGTCATACCATTGTACCACGACTTTCAGATCAGGTTGACATTTACGGAGCATAGAGACATGGAACACATCATGCACGTGAGATAACTCAGGCGGTAAAGCCAGACGATACGCCACGACACCAACTCGTTACACGATCGGGAATGGTCCAACGTACCTTGGCGCAAGTTTCCCTTTTAAACCAAAACGAATAACTCCTTTACGTGGGGAAACCTTCAATAAAACGAAGTCACCTTCTTGGAATTCTAAAGGTCTACGCCTTCTGTTGGCATAACTTTTTTGACGACTCTGAGCTATTAACGATCGTTCCTGGATAAGAACTATCTTCTTGTTGTTTTCTTGAATAACTTCTAGTCCAGTAATAAGTCGATCCTCTGGTTCCAACCAACAAACAGGTGATCTACAAGGTTGACCATACAGAGCTTCGAATAAAGCCATGCTAATACTGGCCTGATAGCTGTTGTTGTAAGCAAACTTAGCAAGGTCAAGGTATTTCTTCCAGTTTCCACCAAAATCCAGAATACAAACATGAAGCATATCCTCCAGAATTTGAATAACTCTTTCAGATTGCCCATCAGTCTATGGATGAAATGCTGTGTTAAAATTTAATTTTGTTCCCATGGCTTCCTGGAAACTTTTCCAATACCTTGCATTAAAACGTGTGTCGCGATCGGACGTGATCAATAACGGTACCCCATGGAGTCTCACGATGTGCTCCAAGTACGACCCTGCCAGAATTTTTTGAGAATACATTGCACAGAACGATATGAAATGTGTAGATTTCGTCAACCTGTCAACCACCACCCAGATGGCATCGTGCTTCTACTTAGTCCTCAGAAGTCCCATCAGAAAATCCATCGTGATGTGTTCCCATTTCCATCCCGGTACAGGTAGAGGCTGTAACTCTCCCGCTGGTTTCTGGTGCTCAGCTTTGATCCGGAGACAAGTTACACACTCTGAGACATACTCACGAATGTCTTTCTTCATACCTCTCCACCAGTATTGCATATTCAGGTCCTGGTACATCTTGACACTTCCCGGATGAATAGCGTACCGTGATTTAACATCTCATGTAGAATCACCTTTTTGATCTCATCTACCTTAGGAATAGCTAACCAGTTGTGGAAACAAAGTGCTCCATCCTCTTGGATTCTCCAATCCTCAAGTTACTCTCCATTCTGGATTCGAATCTAAAATCCTTGAAGATATGGATCCTGCCACTGATTCTGCTTAACTTGTTGTACAAGAGCCGAGGTGGAGATCAGATTATACACCATTGCCTAGTTATAATCCTCGTAGTACTGAAGTTCATAATCACTTACTACTTCAGTTCTCTTCCAGTCTTCCAAAGCTAATGACGCCATAAATCCTGTAGTCTTCCTA